TATCACAGACCCCCCTCACGGATGGAGGAGAAAGTTGAGTTCTCAGGATCTGAAACCCCGAGGCCCTGGTCCCAGGCCGTCCTTGGCCTTGCCAAGCACCTTCCTGACTTTAGAAAAGGGTCTAAGCTCCTTCTCCACACACCAGGGCCTGAGGGAAAGTCCCAGACCAGGCTGGCCCTCTACAAATGGGCACATCTCTCACCCCTCATCTGAGAAGCTGCTTTTTACAGTAGATGCTGATTAACACAGAGGTCTACAGTTGGTCACGATACAGAGAGTTAGACACTGTGGAGTGCTTGGCTATGAATGAGACTCCTATACCACACACACACACACACACACACACACACACACACACACACACACACCACACACACACCTCTTGGGGTTTGGGGATCATAGTGGAATGGGGTGGGACAGACAGACTGTGAGAGCCAGAGGGAGTAGGCACATGCAGCAAAGCCAAAACATGAGCTGACATTGGCTGTAGCTGTGTGCACAGGACCTGGACCAGATGAGGCCAGCCGACATCCCAGCATGGGTGTGAGAGGGGATCATGGATTTCCCCTCCATCCTGTAGCTAAGGAGCTCTTGACAACGGATGGCTACAAAGGGAAGGCAGGTGAGTTTTCTTCAGGGATGCAGTCCCTGGGAGACTGCCCATGATTGAGTAGCACACACAGGCATGGACCCAGTGGGTTTGAGGGATGGGGAAAGTGCATATAGGATGTTGGGAGGGGAAAGTACTGAGGGAATAAGAGAGAAATTAAATGGTTAAGAAGGAGGGTAGATTTACTTAATCAAAACATATGTAATTTAAAAATGAAACATTAATAAACAAAAAAAAATTTTTTGGAAGGAATGGGGAGCAGGCACCTTGGAAGGGGACAGGAGAAGGGGCAGATACCGTATGACAAAGGAGGACTCTTTAGGGGGCAAGAGAGTGGGCGGGCATTGTGGGTCAGAGCCAGGACTGTCAAGGGGTTGGTCAAGGTGGAGGCCAAGGCTATAGCATAAGCACAAGGCTTCACTACACCGTCATCTCTCATGGACAGTTCTGCCTGGCCCTGGCGAGGCACTCTGAGCTCAGAGAACCTCTGCCCCGATCCAGGACCTGTGCCTTTAGCAAAACACAAGGGTAAACCCTCCAGCTGAGGCCTCTCACCGGCTCCACAGTCCCCGCCAGCTCCCCCGAGCCTGAGCTGGAGGGCTGTGATGGTATTTCCTCCTTCCATGTGGGATGTCTGGAAAGGGTATGCTTGCTTGGCAGTGCTCACACACTCAGGAATGCCAGTCTTGGCCTCCTCCAGGATTCCAGCACCTTCCAGAACTCCTGGATCAGACTGGGGTCTGCTGTTTCAACACAAAAAATGGTGCCTTCGAAACAGGGCTTTCTCTTAGAAATGGCAGAGGAGAAAACAGGAAGCTCCCATTGCTCCAGGGGGGTTCTCAGGACCCCCATCCCCAAGCTCAGTAACAGCATCGGAACCTCCAGGACCCTCCCACCCCTAAGGCCCAGCCTGGGCTTGAAGCAGACATCATCAATCGATTGAAGAGCTTCCATTTCCCCACCAAGCCAGGCTCCCTAAAATAAGCTCACCTGCCATTCCTTTGGCAGGGAGTCTCCTCCAGGGGGATGGGTGGGGGGAGATGGAGAGAAGGTCCCCCCGGAAGCAGCCTGGACAGGAGGGAGAGGCTACAATCAAGCCTTCAGCTGCCAGCAGCTGTGTGACTAGATAGGGGACACTGCCCTCTCTGTGTCCCAGCATCCCTGTTTGTGAATGAGTTGGTTGGGACTGGATCTCCCTTCCAGCCCCTGTTTAACATGCATTCATTCGTGTGTGTGTGTGTGTGTGTGTGTGTGTTTGTATGTCTGTAATACGGGAGCTGAAGTACACTCTGGAACTGTGAGGGAAACCTGTGAGCCACGGGAGGCCCCCATGGGCATAGTACAAGACAGAAGAGGCAGGGTGGGGCTCTGGGACTCATCCCTTTATTCAGGGAAGGTGTCACCGGGTGCTACTGTACGTAGATTCTACGCTGGGGTTTAGGGGACAATGATGTGACCTCAGCATCTTCAAGGTCATCATGGTCATCAAGGCAGCCATGGCTGTGACCCAGACTAAGCCCTAGGCTAGCACCATGTGGCCAAGGAGCCCTGCAGTGTCACACCAGCCACAGACACGCACTTCCATGAGTCTGCTGGCAAGATTGTTTCTTTGTTTTATATATATAACTATTTATTATTATGATTATATAAATATATACTGTTATATATTAGTATATTTATACATATATACATACATGTATACACACACATACATATGAATGGATACATGTTGGAATCCAGGTCCTGTGTAGTCACATTTGGGGATCTGGAACTAGGAAGCCACTTATCAGCTGTCAACCTTGGAATTCAGACTGCAGTTCTGACTCAGACAAGCTGTGTTCAGAGAACAAGCCAAGATCCTTCCTCCTGCAGCAGCTTTCCCCCATCCCTAAAGGAGATGGGAAGTCAGCGAGGCTTGGTGTGCAGGTTCCTCAGCTTTCTGTCCTTACCGGCACTGTGCAGGAGGACCTATGAAGTTTCCCACCTCCTCACTAAGGGCAGTCAGCAACCAGGGCTTAAGAGTGTCTTCTGTGGGCTGGAGAGATGGCTCAGAGGTTAACAGCACTGATTGCTCTTCCAGAGGTCCTGAGTTCAATTCCCAGCAACCACATGGTGGCTCACAACCATCTGTAATGGGATCTGATGCCCTCTTCTGGTGTGTCTGAAGTCGGCAACAGTGGACTCATATACATAAAAATAATCTTTAAAGAAGAAGAAGAAGAGGAGGAGGAAGAGGAGGAAGAGGAGGAGGGGGAGGAGGAGGAGGAGGAAGAGGAGGAGGGCATGGTGACCCCTGAGACCCAGGGAAGGTGGGCCACCGGACAAGTCCCAGCAAAGTTGTGGGTGAGCATCAAGCTCTGGGGGGATTCCTCCCGTGGGGAGCCTGTGGCTGTACTGCTTGACTCTGAGCAGCAATTCTGCTATGTTGGGAGCTAGGCAGTGTCAACTTTTGCGGTCAAGTACAGTCGGGTAGCATCTGGGGCCTGCTGGAGCCCAACGGCTGCAGACTTGTCAGCTCTTGACCGACCCTCTGCCAGGAGGACAGCCTCACTCAAAGACTCCTTCGGCTCTTGGCCCGGAGAACTTTGTTGCCTTCAAGCATAAAAGCCGCCATTGACCTCTGCCCTGCTGTCTGAGGACGGAAGCTTACAGCTGCTGTACACAGCACGGGCTTTGAGGCTGATGCTCCCAGCAGCTGCCACCTGCCGAGAGGTAAGGCAGGTCCCCGCACACCCGTGACACCAGTGCAGCAGTCCTGTGAGGCCCGGGAGACACTAGTACAGTGTGGAAATCTTATCTGTCAGGAAGGCTGGAACCTGGGTCAAAGTGAACTGCTTTCCCAGCTGTAAAGGACTTTGGCTGGAAGGGGTCTTTGGGGTGAGAGTCTCTTGCAGAATGCTTTGGGGAGACACCGGGGAGATGACTCGGGGAGTAAAATGCTTGCAAGCATTAGGACCTGAGTTCGGATCCCAGCTTTCCCACATTGGGATGCAGCAGTGCATGCTGGTAACCACAGTTACCATGGTTACTGCTGGTAACCGCAGTGCTGGGGATGGAGATGGGTGGATCCCCAGAGCCAGATCCTGAGTCCTGGTTCGGCAGATGAATGAGCTTTAAAGATGGCGACTTTTACATCATGCAAATGATGTCCCCCTTCAGATTTCAGTTCATACCATACCTGATGTCGCCACACACCTGTAAATCTAGCACTTGAGAAGGGGAGGCAGGCAGATCAGGGGTTTGAGGCCAGCCTAGTCCATGTGAGAACCTTGTCTCAAAAAAACAAAACAAAAAAACAAAAAAAAACAAAACTCAAGAGGCTGGAGAGGTGAGTGGTTAGAGCCCTGCACGGCTCTTGCACATATGTTTTTTTTTAAATACACCTTTAATCCCAGCACTCAGAAAGCAGAGGTTCAAGGCCAGCCTGATCTACATAGTGAGTAGGACCCCAGCCATGTAGAGAGACCCTGTCTCAAGAATAGATAGATGATAGATGATAGACACATACATACATACATACATACATACATACATACATACATACATGGATGGATGGATAGATGGATAGATGGATAGACAAATAGACAGACAGACAGACAGACAGACAGACAGATAGACAGATAGACAGATGATAGACAGATAGACAGAGACAGATACACAGATGATAGATAGATGGGTGGATAGATGGAGGATGGATGGATGGATGGAGGATGGATGGATGGATGGATAGATGGATAGACAAATAGACAGACAGATAGACAGATGATAGACAGATGATAAACAGATAGACAGACAGAGAGACAGATATACAGATGATAGATAGACAGATGATAGACAGACAGATAATAGATAGATAGATAGATAGATACATACATACATACATACATACATACATACATACATTAGATGATGGATGGATGGATGGATAGATGGATAGACAGATAGATGATAGACAGACAGACAGACAGATAGACAGATAATAGATAGATAGATAGATAGATAGATAGATAGATAGGTGGATAGATGGAGGGAGGATGGATGGATGGATGGATGGATTCTAGTTAAAAACAACAAAACTAAATAAAACCTTTTTAATCCCTGAACAGAGGACAGAGATGTAGAAACGAGTCTCCTCCAGGGACACAGAGGACAAGGTAATTTTTACCAAAGGAAAATCATGGGTCACCCTTTAAATGTGGCTAGTTTGGGAACAGGGGTTCAGAGCTCTGACTCCTCTTCCAGAGGACCTAGGTTCAATTCCTAGCACCCACATGATGGCTCACAGTCATCTGTAACTCGGGTGCTCTGGCCTCCGTGTGCGGCCAGGCACGCGTGCAGCGCACGGACATCCGTGCGGGCAGAGCACAAAGGTAGTTTTGTAAGAGGCCGGTTTAGAGTTTCACAAATAACATTTATTGGCTGCATTCACAACAGACTCGTGCGGACATTCGTGCCAGCTCCCCTTCAACGAGCAGTCACGTGACGGTTCCTAGCTCAGGTTGGACCACGGGCGCAGATCTTATCTTGTGTGGGAACAGCAAGTGTCACAGGTCCTCCTGAGCCGAGGGCTTCCCTTGAGGGACCATGATTGGGACTGACATTCTTGTGGAGGACCTTGACAGTAGCTGAAGACTTCAATTCAGTCCCAGAACAAATGACTAGAAAACCAAGAGGAAGGCGGATTCTGAGAGCTGTCCCCGAGGCTGAGAGCCCTCACTGTCCCCAAGGCTGAGCCTTTCCTGTCCCTGGCAAGAGCTTGCCGGGAGCCTCCACAGCAAGGACAGTATGGGTGTCACCTCGGTCACTGTGTCCCCCACTACACCCAGGAACTGGGGGAGTGGACTGGGGTCAGGGCTACGTCCCTGATTCCTAACTTAGACCTGGTGAGCCTGTGACGTTCAGTACTCACTCTCAGGGAGGGAAGGATCACCTAGTTTCATAGAGCTGTGTGGGTGGGTGAAATGGGCTACGCAAGGCACCAGGGCCAGCACGGGGTAATGGGGTGGCGGATGGGGAGCTCCATAGCACCCTTGCTCCTGGGGAGGTTCTGAGCTGGACTCCCTGCCAGCGAGTGTCTGCTAGCCCACAGGGGCAGCCAGGCTGAGATGTGAAGGTTCACAGGGCTCACCACATCTCTGCTGGACACGGGGACTAGGGCTAGCACTGCTGACCCCGAGCCAGGCCTTTGAAGCCAGGGGCAGCTCTGGGAAGCGCCTTCCAAGTGCTGTCTCCGTGGCGTCTAGGGCTCACTGGTCTTTCAGTAAAGGGCATAAGACAAGTCTAGGGCAGGGTGCTGGTGGCAGGGATGAGTCCAGACCCCTCCTCAAGTCCCCGGCAGCTCACCGAATGGCCATGATGGCCCTCAGGACCGCCTGCAGCAGGGTCAGGAGATTGAAGCTGATGGGTAGGAGTAGGCCTAAGCGGCTGGCATGGGGCTCATCCTCCTGGAGGCCTGGCAGCTCATCTTGATAAAGGGCCTGGAGCCGCTGCCACTTGAGGAGGAGATGCTGGTTCCCACAGATCCGCCAACAGCCGTACCATCCGCTCGAGTCCTGGGGGAAACCTAGAAGCAAGAGGGACATTGTTGAGGAGTGAACAAGATACCAGTTGGCCCCCAGAGGGTGGTGATTAACACTTCCTTTTATTTATTTATTTTTTTTATTTTATTTTTGCAGGGGAGATAGGGGTTCAAGACAGAGTTTCTCCGTGTACCCCCTGCCTGCCTGTCCTGGAACTTGCTCTGCAGACCAGGCTGGCCTTGAACTCATGGATCTGCCTGCCTCTGCCTCCCAAGTGCTGGGACTAAAGGCGTGGGCCATCAACACCAACCATCATCGTCAGACAGTTTCTGAGTCTTTATTCTTCAAAGTGGATAGCTGGGATTTGCAGCTTCTGTTTGTTTGTTTGTTTGTTTGTTTGTTTCTTTAGGAAAGAGAGGCCCCTGGAGATGGAACCTAATTGGGCTACCACAGCCGAGTTACCATCACTGATTTAAGGGTCTCCCCTCCTCCTGCATACCAGTCACGCGTTGCTTAATGACTTCCTGGTCATGGCTGGAGAAATGGCTCAGTGGTTAAGAGCACTGGCTGTCCTGTGAGAGGACCTGGGTTCGACTCCTAGCACACACAGGGTAGCTAACAACCCTCTGTAGAGTTCCAGGGTCTGCACTGCCCCCTTCTGGCCCTCGCAGGCACTGCAAGCACACGGCAGGCATACATGCTGGCAAAACATGAATGTGCACGTGTACATACTCACATGGACACGCACGCATACACAGTGCCGTGCTCCACCAGCAGTCTCCAGCATCAGGTGCTTACTGTGCTCACTGTGCTCCCGCGGGGAGTGTTCCCTCCCCCATGCAGACACACACATACACAGTGCCGTGCTCCATCAGCAGTCTCCAGCATCAGGTGCTCACCGTGCTCACCGTGCTCCCGCGGGGAGTGCTCCCTCCCCCATGCAGATTCAGTCTTCTGACCTTTCGCTTTTCTGCCCTGGGGGCACCTGCACCCTACAGTGTCACACTGTGGAAACTGAGTGTGCGTGCAGCAGGCTGCTTGGAGGCTCGTTGGTCCTCTATATGATGCTGGGACAATGACTATCATGTGAGCCAACCGTGCCGCTCAGGCTGACTCTGAGCACCTTCTATAACAGATGCCACACAGAGTCCCAATGTGTGGGTGTCCCGAGCCCCTTTAGTATCTCTTGGGTAAGCTTCGGTCAATGCTGGGTCCTCCTGATGCATTTTTCCCACACTACAAACGCGCTATTGATAGAAATATAAGCCCTAATTATATCAACGCGAAAGACGCTTAATATGTAGCATGATAAATACATTTCCCTTCTGGAAAATCCCACTGTCAAAGCACGGAGCAGAAAAGCATGGAAACCTCCTTTTGCCAGAAAAATGTAAGATCAAAAACGTGTCTGGGGTTGTAGCTCAGCATGCAAAAGGCCCTGTGATGCCAACACACACACACACGTGCACACACACACACACACACACACAGAGTCTTCAAATGGAAGCCCACTGGATTTAAAGCCAGATGATGAAATTACCCTGAGCTGGAAGAGGGGACAGAAGAGGGGACAGGCTGTCCTCCTGACCCTGTCTCTGAAACCTCCTAGCAAAGAGAGATGAGAATCTTGTCACATGAATTCTGTCAGAACTGAGGACCACAGTGAAGCACCTGCTGTCCCTACCACAGGGGAGGCTGAGGAGGGGCGCGGCTTGAGCCCAGGTGTTCACACACAGCCGGGGAAACACAGTAAGATCTCATCGTGAAAACAAGACAAATAAATCAAATAAAACCTCAGCTGCAAAGCATGACTGGAGGTTCTAGGCAGACAGCTCAGAGTGGCAAGAGGACCAGGGTTCGAATCTGCACTCCGGGTAACAGTGTTGCTTCTGTGGATGGGAACGGGACTTTTTTTTACGCATTTAAGAACATGTCAGTTGTTGGCTATCCATTTCTCAAGTGCTTCTCATCCTTCCCCAGAACGCCTTTCCCAGAAAGCCATCCGACACTAGATCCTGCACGAGGCATTTTCTGTGCAGAGCCAGCATAGCGTGGGACCTGACACCAGACCAGAGCCTGGAAGCATCTTCAAGATCAAGCCCAGGACACTGGGTTCAAAACCATTAAGTAATGTAGGAAGCAGACACCTGTCTCATCCAGAGACCTGAGCTGCAGGGGGTATGAGTGTGAGTGTGTGTGAGAGAGTGTGCTGCCCAACACGTGTGTGTGCACACGATGAACACACATGATCTGCCATGAATACAGGAATGTAAACATGCCAGGTCACCTGGATGAGCATCTGAACACACTGTGCTGCACATGTGCACACAGTTATGATTGTACTGTATAACGCGCGCACGCACGGCACACGTGTGTATGTGTGTTTGTCATTCAAGAGCCGTCGCATCAGAAGTACACACCAGTTCAAAAGTGAAAACCTACACACGCCCCGTACTACAAGTAACTGAAGTCCGTAGCCTAAATAAAACCACTTCAGGTGTCGTCGGCCCCGGCTTGCCACTGCTAAGACTGGTGGTCTGTCTGGGTCATTTGCACAAAGATGGCTGGTGACACCTGGCAAGGGTAGGGGATGGCCGTGTCACCTGCGTGGCCTTGCCCCACCCCCTTCCCAGGGCAGAATGAGGCGACACGTGGTGTGGCGTTACCTGGAGTGTCTTTCACATTCTCCAGCCTCTTCGCCACCTGAAAGACAACAAAGTGGGTCAGTATGTAACCTAAAAGATGAGAAAGTGGGTCAGTATGTCATCTAGTGACCTATGGAGTGTCTATCTGTCATAGAGTAGTCGGGGACTTGAGGCCTCAGGGCAGGGGTGCTGTGGCTCCTGGTTCAGGGCCGAGTTCTTTGTGCTGGGAACAGCTTGCTGCTTGGGGATGGAGAACCCCCAAAGTGGAAGGCAGGAGGAGCGGGAGCTGAGACTTCTAACTAGTCCCAAACACTGGGAAGGTCCTCTAGGCCGCAGGAAGGCTGGATGTGGACAATCCCAGCCTTGTGGTCTGGAACTACCACTGTGGGGATGCGGGTGGTACCAGAGGAAGGAAACCCAGAGCCACGGCTCCTCCCGGACACCGCTGCAAGACTCTGGACGGGGGCAGAGGAATTGGCACGGGGCATGGAAGGTAGAAAGAGGGAGAAAGGGACTGCAAAGAGGAAAAGATGCAGCATCCTGGGTACCAGACGCCCGTCACCCATTCTCACCCGTCCTCAGAGAATGGGGCCCACACTTCCCAGCAGCCTCCACGACACGAACTTCCACCCTCGCCACGGCCATCAGGGAGGAGGCCCTTGGACTCCTTCCCCCTCATTCAACCCTGTCTCGTGCCTCCCCTTCTTACCTTCTTCTGTGACCTCAGCCCCTGGGGCACCCAGTAGGGCATGACGGCCCTGTCCCTGGGCATCGGAAGACGGCCCCCGAAGCAGTGGCAGGAGCACCGGCACGACCTCACGGCTCTGGGGACGTAACACCGCATCATCTTCGAGACCTACCAGTGAACAGTGGGAAAGGGTCGAGGGGGCACCAGGTGTGACGGCGCGCCTCTGGTTACAGGACTCGGAAGGCAGGCGGATCTTCGCGAGTTCAAGGCCAGCCTCGTCTACATAGGGAGGTCCTGTCTTTAGGTGGGAGAAGGCTATAGCCCAGATATTAGGGTGCTCGCCTCGCACACACAAGGACCTGAGTTCCGTCTCCAGCGCCGTTAGGTGCAGGAAGTAGTAGGATGGCTCAGCGGGTAAAGGCACCTGCTGCCTAGCCTGTAGACCTGTGTTCAAGCCCTGGGACTCGCAGTGAAGAGAGAGAAGTGACTTCCTGTAAAGGTTCCTCTCACTTCCACACATGCCCTTGACATACATGCACACACACGTGCGTGTGTGTGTGCGCACACACACACACACCACAATAAATAAATAAATAAATAAATAAATAAATAAAGTAAAAAATTTTCAAAATAGGCATGGTATTTGTGGTAGTTTAAATGAGAATGGTCCTTACAGGCTTCTCTGAATACTTGGTCTGTAGCTGCAGGAACTCCTTGAACTCAATTAGGGGATGTGTGGTCTTTTCTCTCTCTCTCTCTCTCTCTCTCTCTCTCTCTCTCTCTCTCTCTCTCT